TGTGAGCGCTGCTGTTGGAGTGGAGGCTGTAACGGTGCTGTTGCCTGTTGGTGCTGCTCTGTGTAGGGTTGGCTGTGTCCATCTTTGTTTCCTTGCAGACGCCTGGATTTTGCCCCTTCCCTTTGGGTGACTCCACCTTGGGGAATCTCTCCCTTTGTGGGGCTGCAGTCACTGCCCACCCCAGGTGCACACTCTCCCTGGAGAAGCCCTGGTCTCTCCAGGCAGCTCTGGATTCCCCTCCTGGAGCATATCTTCTTCCCTGTCCCATGTGGGACAGCCCTGGCTATGTACCTCGGTGACCATTCACCATCTCCACTGTCACCACACACCAATGGGTGAGTCCAAATTGCAACCCTTGGTCTCTAAGAGTTACCAGTGTGACAATGCGCTTTTATCTCCCAATTCCAAGGAGAAAAAGCCCCATTTGGGGAGAAATTCATTGTGCCTGTTCTTGACATTAGTTTGGGCGAATATCCCACCCTTCATTTAATTCACTAGGGAGATCCCATTTTATTACAGAGATGCTAGGAGAGTGTCAGCTCTGTCCCAGAAACACACACTTTTCCATCATATCTATGTGAGAGAGAGCAGGTTTATTACTGTCGGCCTCAGATGAATCCAAACATTAACACTCAGAACCATACAGATAATGATAACAGAAATGCTACACCCCCAGCCCCTCCCTGCAAAAGACAGGCCTGCAATGCTACACCCTGAGAATCATTTGTGAACAGCAATGGAAAATTTATCTGTGTTGAATATCATCCATGAAATCACTTTCTTAAAGGCCTCCTTGAGCTCCTGGTTCCTCATGCTGTAGATGAGGGGGTTCACTGCTGGAGGCACCACCGAGTACAGAACTGCCAGCACCAGGTCCAGGGATGGGGAGGAGATGGAGGGGGGCTTCAGGTAGGTAAACATGGCAGTGCTGACAAACAGGGAGACAACAGCCAGGTGAGGGAGGCACGTGGAGAAGGCTTTTTGGCATCCCTGCTCAGAGGGGATCCTCAGCACAGCCCTGAAGATCTGCACATAGGACACCACAATGAAAACAAAACATCCCAAAAAAAGAAAACAAACAACCACAAGTCGTCCAACTTCCCTGAGGTAGGCATCTGAGCAGGAGAGCTTGAGGATGTGGGGGATTTCACAGAAGAACTGGCTCACAGCATTGCCTTGGCAGAGAGGTAGGGAAAATGTATTGGCTGTGTGCAACACAGCATTGAGAAACCCAGTGCCCCAGGCAGCTGCTGCCATGTGGACACAAGCTCTGATGCCCAGC